AATAATAATAATAATAATAATAATAATAATAATAATAATAAATAATAGAGGACATGAAGTTGGGGATGAAGTCATAAGGTGGGGATGGAGGTGGAGAGGAGTCTGAATATGACCAAAATGCATTCTATGAGATTCTCAAAGAACTAATAAAATATTTTTTTAAATAAATACATTATAAACATCCTCAGCTAAAAAGGCAAAGGTCTGTGATCCACAGCCCTAAAGCTGAGTTGTGAAGTGGGAGTACTCCCTGTAGAGCTCCATTCTGTCTTCCCTAAAGCCTGCCCATGGGTGATTTTTAATGGGCTCAGAAAGGAATAGACGTTAACTCTAGGTTTCATAGGCTAAGGAGTTCTCAAAGCCTCAGTGGCCCTCAGCACCTGCTTTGAAACCCAGAACGGGAAGAAAACTCAGTGACTGGATGTTTTAGCTCCTGCCGTTTGTTCACATGTTTATTAGTCTCAATTCAGTATTTTCCCACCTAGTCCCACTTTCCAGCCTCAATTCCACAATTCCTCTTTATTTGCACTTTTACACTTTGGGAGAACTGTCAGATGCCTTGAATGCAAAACCACACAAGAAACGGAGCAAACAAATAAACACCCCGATTTTCAAAACAACAGAGAGGATTCAATATAGGTAAGAGAGTAATAAAAGGTAGATTAATATATTACTAAATTATAACTAAGGAAAGGATGAAGTCACAGTTTCTGTCAAATCTAGTTACTCAAGTTGTGTGATAAAAGATAAAAACACAGCCGGGCATGGTGGTGTAGGCCTTTGATTCAGCACTTGGGAGGCAGAGGCAGGTGGATCTCTATGAGTTCAAGGCCTGCTTGGTCTACATAGTGAGTGCCAGGACAACTGGGGCTACAAGGAGACCCTGTCTCAAAAGGACAAACAAACAAACAAACAACCCACCCCCCAAAAAAACCCACATAGAAACAGAATACTGTCTCCCCACGCTTTTCGTGGTTCTGAGTCCCTGAAGGCCACCCTTCTCTTTGCTCGATTCCAAATTTGTATATGGTTTTACTTTGATGATATCAAAGATTCTTAAGTGGGAGGAAGAGACAGAGGAGCTTCTATCCCAGTTTACTTAGAGCCAGAAATCTATCCCCGTATAAGAGCCATTTAGCAAATCTAAATGTTCGACTTAAGAGTATATGTGTGACACGGTCTTTGAAACAGAATCCCCATTTATACCCCAGGCTTTCCTTAAAGTCCTGGCAATCCTCCTAACTCAGCTTCCCGAGTTCTAGGATCACAAGTGAGCTTTTCCACATCCACCTGCATCTGACTTTTAATACACATTGCTGACTTCCATTGTACAGGGCATCCTTCAATATGATATGTCCATCCATTGTATGACATAACTATGTATATATTTAACTATTAGTCATTGAAAAAATGATATTTCAGTGAAACAATACACCCAGGAGTAGAAAACTTAGAAAACAAAATAAAAGGAAGTCAGAAAAGGCAGAGTTTAGGACTTTAACTTATGTATACAAACATGTCAAAGGACTACTCTCCACTCCATGTTATTGAATTGGGCAAAAATTGATCACAATACTACAGTGTCAACATAGATTGTCCTCATACATTTCGTAAGTAAAATCAATGTAATTCTAAGCATGAGTAAATCTCAACATGTTTTTAAACCCATATTCCCCCAATG